CCTTTGGCTGATGATTAGATGACATGGCAATTCATTTGGCTGATGATTAGATAACATGAAAATTCATTTGGCTGATGATTAGATGACATGAGAATTCATTTGGCTGATGATGAGATGACATGACAATTCAATGGGCTGATGATTAGATGACATGCCAATTCATTTGGCTGATGATTAGATGACATGACAATTCATTTGGCTGATGATGAGATGACATGACAATTCAATGGGCTGATGATTAGATGACATGACAATTCATTTGGCTGATGATTAGATGACATGACAATTCCTTGGGCTGATGATTAGATGACATGACAATTCATTTGGCTGATGATGAGATGACATGACAATTCAATGGGCTGATGATTAGATGACATGACAAATCATTTGGCTGATGATTAGATGACATGACAATTCATTTGGCTGATGATTAGATGACATGACAATTCATTTGGCTGATGATTAGATGACATGACAATTCATTGGGCTGATGATTATATGACATGACAATTCATTGGGCTGATGATTTTATGACATGACAATTCATTTGGCTGATGATTAGATGACATATGACAATACATTTGGCTGATGATTAGATGACATCACACCTTAATTGGCTGATGATTAGCACGACAATTCCGTTGGCTGGTCCTGAAATGACACGGCAAATCATTGGGGTAAACTTGATATTCATGGGCTGAATCGCACGTGCGATGATTAATCAATGTGCTCAACCATAAAAGTATGACCAATCAATTTGGTTGAATGTAGATGGTACGGTAATTAATTTGACTGACAGGTAGATAATATAACCGTGTATTGATTGGATTTAGTTGATAACACAATTGATTGAGCTGAAGGATAGATTTGGAGGTTTATCGAGCTGTATTTATTTAAATAACATAGTAGTTACTATATTTACCAGAGTAAATGGTTAACAAATCGTATTAATTCTTGATGAGTATTACGTATTTCATGCATTGTGGATTACAACACGCTCATACTATAACGTGGTTGGTCAAAACCGTCATTCACTTCTATGTCTTCACTACGTATAGCGTTTATGTCACCTATTGCGTTACAGTATGTTTTCAATAAGTCGTTTTTTACTAAACATTTCTACTGCAATTCAGAAATTAATGCGGGATGGTGTCACCCGCGCACGCGCGGGAATTTAATCGCAAGCGATGATAACAGCTCACGCTAAGAATGCAAAGGCTCATGGGAAAACGCTTGTTTGTAAACAATTACACGCTATGGCCATCTGACGCATGCGTAGGTGACGACTCCCTCGCTTTAAAATACGTATGGAAAGCATTGATACGCAGACGACAAAGTAAGGAAGTAGACACGTTTGCCGCGAACAGTGTTTATAACGCTTTGCGAAGATACCATTAGCAGAAATCGTGTGGTCTGCGGGTCCCAGAATAGAGTGGCATGTCTGTACATGTTTCACCGCTACCGTGCTCTTGGCTGAGCACCACGGATCTAAAGCTAAAATACACTCACAATTGCGCGGAATCACTCCTGATTAAACACATATTACGTTTTATGGTATATAATAATGAAATTATGAACTATGCTGTATTTGATTCGGAGTCGATTCAACACTAGACGTCATGCTCGCCTGTGGATCGAACTATATCTCGCGACTCCGTCCAACACGACGCTTTGGGTTGTTCATTATTGTCATACTTGAGTACGTTGGCCGTGGGTAAGATGAATACGCATCCAATGTAATTGGTACGATAGAGAGTGTCTCGCCCTAGGTTTGTTCAGTCACTCTTAATGGGTTGGCAAGTGGTGTCTTGTTTGCTTACTTGGACATGTATGTCTTCCTAGTCGTTCACAAGGAGGTGGTCGAGAAGGTTCGAATGTAATCTGTCTCTCTGATCATGTCACGTAATTTAATTTGAATATCGCAGTACGCAGATGCATCGTAAACATGTGACAGTGAGGGACAAATTGCGTTAATTTAGACGAGAAAAGGAGATGGAAATAATGTTATATGATGTCAAAAACGAAAGTATTCTCTAGGTCTAGATAGATACAATAAGAATGTTGAAACAGAGATTTCCAGTTTTGAGTGTATACTCGGACCGACATTGTTGAATTTTTTTAGAGGAGAAAACCGTCTATTTGTATTTGGTTGAGTCAATACTTGATTAATTGCGTTGATGCACGGGAGGGAACAACAGTTAGCACACGAGCTAAGTAACACCCAGACGTGTTAAGAATATACAAATCTTCAGTCCTTTTAACTATGATTGCTAAGTACAATAACCAAGAAGGTATACATGTTAGTTCTATGTATATA